ATCAGAACAACTGAAGTGGGCGAGATAGAGTCAGAAGAAACAATATTAGACGTCTCAAGCAGAGGAAGCACACGTGAACTTAGAGAGCAGGCCATCGAGCCACTATCCAACATGGCATGCAGAGTCACAGCACTTTGAATAGACACACTATTGTAGAAAAGGTCATCTTTCGCAGAAAGTCTCTGTGTGTTCTTAAATATCACTGTAGCATCACCTTCTACTGAAACACAGAACTGAGAGTAAACAGACTCCATATCAACATCATCATGTGGGGACATGTCAACCGGCCCTTCACTAGTCCCCCCTCGTGTGGGCCATCTAGTTTCCCTGCTGTGTGGGAGCATCAGCTCGAGCAGCAGGTGCATCATAAGCAGGTGCGTTAGTACAGGTTACTGCCTGATGTCCAGCAGCATGACAGTGGAAGCAGAGACGCTCTGTCCGACAGTGGGACACAGTGTCATGATCGTCACTTTCACAGATGACACACGGGCCTTGAACCTTGGCATGACTGTCACTTCTGGGTCTAGGAGGTCTGGAATGTTGAAAAGACTCCCTCTGCAGCAAGCGCTCCAGAAGAGTGATAACATGTTCGAGAGACTGACCTTCGCTCGACAAGGTTTTACAGGCTGTAGCTGGTTGTGGAGCAGGAGGGCTCACTGCAGTCTGAACATGGCTGTGCACCATCTCCACAGCCTGGGTGGGATGCAAGCGTTTCACCGAATTTGCAGATTGACGTTGCTGCAGACGCTTTTTACGGTGGTGTTCATCCAGCCGTACTTGAACATCATTGGTTGTCCACTCCTCAAGTGGTCTGCAGCTGAAGACTAGCAACAGTTCAGGGTCAGGGCAATGAGTGATGAACATTACCGTTACCTCTCTGGAAGGGTTATCAAGGGTTTTGCCTTGATAACCCTGTCAAGTCCTTCAACAGCAGTGTCAACGGCTTTGTTGAGCCGGATCCAGTAGTCAACGGCAGTCTCAGTGGAGGATGGTTTCGTGTCATAAAAGTCAGCCAAAGGCATAAAAGAAGTCACAGAGTCACTGAAATGCTGTTTCAAAATGTCAGAGATTGGCTGAGGACCTAACTGTAGGTCCACAGTGGGTTTGCTACGTAGCCCAATCTTCACTACATCACAAGCCTTACCTTGCAGTTTACTCAAGACCTCTTCAGCCTGATCACAAAGCTGAATGTTACTTTTCATGTTACACACAGTCCCAGTGAATACTCATTGGAATTAATTATAAACAGTATTTAGACAACCGATACAGTAAAATAAGCACATTCTATGCCAAGTGATGGCAAGTGGAATCATTAACTGTTACATTAGTGACATAATAAATACCACGTTTGTCCATATCTTCCTGTCAGATGGAGATCAGACGTGAGGACGGGACACCTGTCAACTCCTACTGCTTCATTCATCTGACGATACAGGAGTTTTTGCTTACGCTCAGGATTATGACCAGTCAGGATGTTAGTGACACTCAGCTCAGGAAGAGGTAAGGAAATGAATTCAGAGAAGCCAAACGGAACTGGAAATGACCATGGTTATATTTCTCAGGGCAATTGCAGTCTTCCTCTATGAAGCTGTTGATCAGGTGGCCTCCCTGAAGGTGAAAAGTTGGCACTATTTAATGGCAGTACTATCACTGCCATTGAACTCAGTCGTGTAGATGGAAACCATCTGCTTGCACCTATTCAACCACACATGTATGCTGTATGGTCTGTGCTCAGCACAAATGTACCAGAAAAGCTCAGATTAACAATAACTTGTGAAGTGCTCCGAGACTAAAACAGAGACCGAAGCTTGAAAAGTCATCTTATCAATAGTGGAGGAAGATCCTTAACTATAAGTACAGTGTGTAACATTTAGGAGGATCTATTGGCAGCAATAGAATATAATATTTATAGGTATGTTTTCATTACTGTACATCTACAGACGGAGCGGTTCCACAGAGTCTGTCATGTTGAACTGCCTTGTTTCTAGGCCAGAACTGACAAACCAAAAACTGTCTCTATAAGGCCTTTTTTTTCAGGTTTCACAGCCATTATACATGCTTGGAAGGGGAGGATGTGGTGAGGGGTAATCATTTGGTTGCAATACAGCAAGTGAAAGTATGCAAGTATAATCGGGAAAAAGTATTCAAGGTATAGAAATGAAAGTAGTCTTTAATCAGAAAAATTGCCCCTTTGGCTGTCACACTATTATATCATCAGATTATCATTACTGATGGATTAATGTCTAAGCAGCATTCTATTGTTGTAGTTGGTTGAGGTGGAGCTCATTTCAAACTATTTTGTATTAGACTGCAACTTATTTTATATTTTTCGTTATGATTTTGTCTCCTGATTGTTTTCTCAATTAAATTGATTTAATTTAAATCTAATTTTCTACCATTTTCTGCACCAAACAACTTATCGATAATAATCAATCGACAATTAAAATAAACGTTAGTTGCAGTACTAGGAAGTACAAGATTTGAGTAAATGTGCTTTGTTACATTCCATTACTGCATCTCATATATCAAAAATCATAACAATAATTCCATTCAAGTATGTAAGTAAGTAATTACAAAGTATGTCTTCAGTAATTAGTGTTCAGGGGTACTGTTGCATCTAAATTATGATACAGGTTGCACAAGAGTGCTATAGGATTTGACCATATAGAATTACTTATTACTTACTTATTACTTAGAACTAGTCTAGATGAGTAGACTAAAAGACTGTTTGACCACAAATGTGCTGAAGCGGGCTCAAATTGAATGGTCCAATCACAGCAGTGGTGGCTCAGGGGGTCAGCAGAGAGGGATTAGGGGTCGGACACTTACCAGTAAGACATGACACAGCAGGAGGCCTTCCTATGTACCGCCACATTTAGGGCAGGAGAATTAATTACATTTTATTACAATTTTGACTTTCAACGATTATGGAAACAGTTTTTATCTCAGCATGATAATTGAGATAAAAAAAATTATTATGCTGCATCCGTTTCACAATGATGCTCTTATTTTGTCTTGTGTTATAAATCCAGCAAACCCCTCCCTAAAAGCCCAAACTCACTTTCAGGTTACTCACTCGCATGTTTAGTTCATCTTGAGCCAAGACAATTTGTTTTTCAGTTGAACTGAAATCCACTGTTAAAAGGACACTTTTTTTGAAAGTTTAGTGAATGATGTTTCCAAAGTCAATCAGTAACTGTGTTAAAAATCTCAATATTGACCAAATTAGCCACATATTTTCCTTGTAGAGGGAATGCTGCTATGTCACCAGTCAACTGGGTGCTCAAATATAAGAAAACCCAGTGTGTGTGTGTCATTTAATGAACACCTTTTATTTTACTGTAAAAGCAATAAAACCCTGTTTACACCCCTATAAATATGCACATTAAATGAATGTAGTGGAGACACATGCCATATATAACTGCCACATCCAAGGTTTGAGTCTGTCTGGGTTTTTTTTAAATTGTCATACCCTGTATATGCTAAAATTGCAACCATGGCAGTGCAGGGATGTTGCCTAATCAATCTGCTGTCAAAAGCAGTTAAAACTGCAGTCAGCTGGCTTGTATCCTACTACTGTGGCAGTTCATTTCAAGGTTTGTGTCATAAAGATCCCACAGCTGTGAAACTAGCGGGCTCCGCATGGCAGCTCTGAAAGCATCATGTTACAACAGCCATACAAATAACAACATTTCTGATGATCATCAAGCAGGTGGTGTGAGTTATTCTCATCTGGCAGGAGAGGCTAGGAAGTGTCCTCTATACAGCAATATAACTTAGTCCAATAAATATTGACTTTGCTCTATCCTCTTCCTTATTGCTCTCTCAGATTCAGTCTGAAAACTCACTGGATGACCAAGTCAGACCAGAGGACAGTTCTTACTGACTCCCTGTATCTGTATGTATGTGGCCTGGCTTCCCCACACTGCACTCCAGCCTTAGTTCAATTAGCCAGGACATCTGCCGGAACAGGAGGACAAAATTGGGTCCAAAAACGACAAGCCCTCGTTCTGAAACTGCTAAAAAACCTGTGTCACAGCAACACTGACTGGACCAAAGGTAGAACATGAGCTGAAGTAAATTCTGATAAACAGATGTATAATTTACATATAATTGTCTTCTCCCAGTTTTTTTGTTACTGATTCTACCTTCTTACATCTTGTCAGATACTGGAGCTTTGCCATTGTGTCCAAGAAAGCCAGGACCACCAACTAGCTGAGCAGGTTGTGCGTACGAGACCCAACCTGGAGCTGCGCAACATCCTGCTATTACCTAATGATATAGATGCTCTGGCCTAAATCCTACACACTGGTCCTTTAAACTGCTGTATTGTCCAACTGGCATTAATATTATACTAGTGGAAGGCTATATAGTATACTACTATGTAGATTATAATGAATATGCTAACATTATATAATACTTACTGTATAAACATATTTCACACATTATTGTTATAAATGTTGTTCTGTGATCTCTTTTACATAAAGTGGGGGGTGGTGGCTGCTGAAAAAAAAAAACCTAAAGGAAACACTGACAGCGGTTGCTGACATTCCTCAGCTTATTGGCCACCTGTTGCACATTGCTGTGAAACTGACATAGGCTCTCTGTTTGCTGCTGTGTCCCAGACGTTGGCTCAGTGTTTCTGTAACATGCTGCCTGGACTCAAGGGCAAAAAGACCACAAGGACATTGTTATTAAACCACCTCAAAAGCAAATGAACTCCCACACAGTGTGAATACTTGCATAAGACTTAATAGGACCTTCTTAAGATAAGATCAACTCACACATAAAATAATAAACAAGTGAAGCCAGAAGGTGTCAAAGGCAAAACTGGGGACACAGACTGAGCTTCCAAAATAACAATTTTATTTTAATTTTATATTTTATGTGAAAAACAAACAGAAGCTTTTGTTCATAAGTTTGGTGAAAGCATGGTATTCTGCACACTAGACACTTACCAACATTAGGTTTTATTATGAATTTTTTCTTTGACTGTTTACTTTCAGTTTTCGCAGCCGCAAGTATGGCGACAAGTTTGCTGAGAAGTTGTCCTCCATTTTGCCAAAATTCACAACCCTGAGAAAGCTAGAGTGAGAGCCTATTTTTTTCCCCTTTTCTTTCTCCTTCTGTTTTCTGTCTGTCGCTTTCTTGAATTCATATCTGGCCTATCAGGAGTGGTGTAGTCTAAATGTTGTTTCCCTTCCTCAGACTATACTCACAGATCAGTGTAATTCAATTTGAAATACTGTAATGGCCCTACGGCAATGATTGACTGATTTTCTCTTTTGTCCTCTCAAGGTTTTGTGGTGCCAGTCTCACTGCCACAGGAGCAGCTAGTTTGGCCTCTGCTCTACAGAACTGTCCAGACGTCACTGAAATCAAGTATATTTGCTACATCGTATTTGTTGTGTTTCTGACTGAGTAGGGTTGCTGACACCTGATATCTAACATACTGTAATGCTGAAATATATTGGATGCTGGTCTGAAAATTGCAGCAAGGATCTGTTTTTACGTTGCAGTCTGAGTGACAACAATCTGAAAGATGCAGGGATCGAACACATAGCTGATGTTTTTACCAAACTACCAGGACTGGTCTCGGTGCTGCGAGTACATGCTGCTAATGAGAAGCTTTTTTTTAAAAATAACCTCAATATCTCAAGATTTTGCTGATTTTTAGTATTTTTACTATATTATTATATTATCATAGTATATTATGAGTATAAGGTGTGTGTGTGTGTGTGTGTGTGTGTGTGTGTGTGTGTGTGTGTGTGTGTGTGTGTGTGTGTGTGCACCTTGCAGGCTGGGTCGAAACAGCTCTCTGAAAGCAGTGGACTATCTCATCGGGAAGATGTCTTCGTGTTTGAACATCGAGCACATTCACGCAGAGTATGAGCACACACACAGTCACACACCAACTAAGTTACAGGCATCGATATTTTTACATGATTTAACACAGAGGCCATACAGCACATCGCCACAGGCTCTTTGTTATGGAATCTATGTCAATTTGGGGTTTATTTTCCGCTCACTGTCATTCTTTTAGCATTTGACTGCAATGTATGGACAGCACACATCAGCTTGGTCAGCATTTTCTGCATCCAAAGTATTTTCTCAGTAATATGTAACCTTCAGACTTACTTCATAGACCTCCAAGGCACTAAATAAAAGTTTTAGGTTATTTGAACAAGTAAGCAAGTAAACATTGTCATACAATGTAGATTTGTATCTTTTTGCAGTGGGATGAAGGAAATGAACTCTGCACATACTGACCATTTATATTCCTGAATTCCCCTCTGCAGCCATAAGTCTGAACCTACAATCAGGTAAGACAATGACACTCTTATCAAATGTTGGTCTCCTTCCAAATCTTTATTAACCTAGCCAGTTTCCTGAACATTGCTCATCTTTGAAGTAAAATGGCTCTTAACAAGGTTCACATACCAGAAACAGCCTCTGAATGTGTGAACTCAGTCAGTTCAGTTCATGTGCCGATTGACTTGAATTTGATTCAGTTCATGGTTTTCAATTTCAATGTTTTTATTGTTGATAATCCCGTGGTAATATTTGTTCTCCAGCTTGTTGAGCCAGAAATGGAGCACACCTGAGATGCAAGTACTTGCAGAGTCATTGGCACGTTGCCCTGCCTTGTCTGTCCTGGAGTAAGTGAGCCTTACCAAAGATAGAACCAGTGGTGGAATTAAACTAAGTATACTCAAGTACTATACTTAATGGTGGGGTAAGCAATTTTGGAGAAATGTAATACCATGACATATGAATACCATCCGTCTGATCCACTCTCTTTCCCATTTACAGAGCCAGAGCTGTGTACAACCACCGATATTCAGTTTGAACAAGGTTTATTGGATTAGAATCACATTACCCCACCTTCAAGTAGGAATTTCCATTATATACACCTTTATACTTATACAACAGCTCAGAGGCAAATATTGTACTTTTTACTCCTCTACATGTCTGTCAGCTTTAGTTAGTATTTACTTTTACCCTTCTTGTCCAGTAAAGTTTCTCTTTAACTACAACAGTAAAATCCAACAATAATGCAGAGCCGGTCCAGACCTCCCTGGGGTCCTAAAAATTGTGATAGGAGGTCCTCCTATCTGACCCGTAAGCCATGTAAACTATTTGCCATTGCCACACAGTGGCATCTGATACCCAGTGCTCCCACTACAATCTTCCCTCCTTTTAAAACAGTTTACTCCATCTCTCAATCCAAGAATTAGTAGAACTATACAGAACAGAATTATATATATATATATATATATATATATATATATATATATGTTATTATTATATATATAAATAAACAATATTTATTGAATAGAATATTTTATATTGAAGTAAATATTGACAATAACATTGTAGAAAGGGCTCTGCTGCCTGGTAATTAGTCCAGTCCTCACAATATTATAACATTATCTTTGTCTATACAATGTGAACATAAGCCTACAGGCTCTGGCTGCACAAAATACCAGGTCCATTCAAACTGGCTAACCCCGATGTCCTTTTATACACTTAAAAATATAAACTAGGGCTGGGACTTTATCGCGTTAATTACGATGAATTAATTACAGAAATAATAACGCAAAAAAAAAAAAAACGCATTTAATCACAATTTATTTTTGCATTCCAAACAGCGCAGAACGTTGCTCGTCGCACGAGTTCCTGGCAAACCTGTAAGGACACAACACTAGATATAGGCTGCGTTTCATTAGTAGTTCCACTTCCCCTCGTTCACTTACCCTCAGCCCTTGGTATGACGTAACAGCATACGTTGCACGGAGGCCACTTGGAGCGCGGAGGGAAAGTGGGCGGGGGAGGAGCGGGGGATTTAAATGAAACGCACTTGCCCTTACTCAGCGTTATATTTATATTTATATTTCAATGACGTAAACTGCAATGCATTGTGGGTGATATCCACCTTGGAGCGACCATAGTTGTTCACTCGCTCCCTCAGCCCTCCGAGGCTCCATCTCACCAAGTTCACTTCAGTTTTCCAGACAATTGGAACGACACTTATGATGGCGGCGGGGATTCCCCCGAGGGCAAGTGGCGAGGGCAAGTAAACAAGGGCATGTTGAACGACTAATGAAACGCAGCCATAGAAACCGATGAGAAGTCGTTGCTGGGTTCGGTGGGTGGAAATTTTAGTTTTAAAAAACTACCGGGTGGAAACCTGGATAAAAGCACAGTTGTGTGCAAATTGTGCAAGAAAGAATTTGCCTATCACAGGAGCACTTCCAGCCTCCGCTACCAACTCAATGCCAAACATGTTGCAGCTAGCACAGACAACAATCCTAGTTCGAGCAGGCAGTGTTGCCAATCCACACTCGACAAGATGGGTTCAGAGCCAGAATGAGTAAGTCCACGACTGACAAATTAACAAATGCACTGGCGAAGTGGATTGCAGTGGACTGTCGGCCACTCTCGGTGGTAGAAGATCAGGGGGTAGAAGCGGTGCTACAGATAGCGTCGTCTGACCCAACTTATGAACTGCCATGCAGAAAGACAATTTCAAACAAAATTCATCCGCTTTATGACACTGAAAAGCAAGCGAAAGTAGATTTATTGGCATTATTTTATGCCAAGGATATTATTCTAACTATTTTGCAATGTTAGGTTTCCACTTTTCTTGAATGTACTGTACTAAGTGCTGTTTTTTATTTTAATAAACAAAAACAAATGTGTTTAAGACATAGAAAGTTTACATAAAATCCTGAAAAAGCTTGAATATAGCTAACTTGAATTTAAGTTTGTGCCTTGTGAACAATGTAATCATAATATTCTTTATTCATATTGCACTTTATGTTAACACTAAGTGATGAAAATAAACACAATTTTGTTGTTTAAGCTCATTTATGTGTCAATTCATTGATTCAGTCATATACCAAAATCCATTTAAATTGAAAAATGTTGCTTCTCGTGTCAAATATTGATATGCGATTAATTGAGATTAATTAATTACAAAGCCTCTAATTAATTCGATTAATTTTTTTAATCGAGTCCCACCACTAATATAAACTACTGTATATGTATATATATATATTGTATATGGCTTGACTGAATACTAGATGGTTATTGTTTAGTACGTCACATTTCCCTGTGATGCGTGGGGTCAGATTTCTAGAGGACCCAATTGGTGCGTAAACAAGGAGGTATGCAGCAGCTATCACATGTCTCTTTGCAGAGTGTAACAGGCGCTTTCAGGGTTTTGCTACTCTCAAAAAGAGCACGTTGCTTTTCTCCTCTCCCTGCCCCACGGACCCTGATGAAGCCCCACACCAGCTGCAGATGAAGCTCACTCAGCTGCAGTGCGATGAGGTTGAGCGGTCGACACCAACAGCTCTCACTTGTGAACTTTCACCGGCAGTTGGATAAAGACAGGTTCCGAGGAATGGGAGCGTTTGCAAAGAAAATGGAGAGCTTCTTTGGCTGCGCACATTTGTGTGAGCAGACATTTTCTGTAAGGAACCTGAAAGAGAACCGGTTGAGGTCCAGACTAACAGATCCCCACCTACGCATCTCAACCACTGCTCGCAAACCAGACCTGGACTGTGTACCGCAATCCAGATCTCAGTATCACCCCTCACATTATGGTCAATTCCATGTCTCTTAGTCGTCTGACTAAACTACAGTTTCTGAGTGAGTAAAAGTATATTTCATAGCTTGGCTGAATTGTTAGACATGTTCACACCTCCCTGGTGTATTTCTTGGTTATCTGAAATTCATAAAATGCAGTTTCTGAGTGACATATATTATATAATATATTTCTCAACTTTGTGGAACCTTTTTGGAATTTTTTATGCTTGCTTGTTCATGGCGTTATCTGACTCTTATGTGGTATGAAAAAAATGCTGAATTGTTTAATGTTAAAGACCTGTGTTTTCTTGGTCATCTGAAATTCATAAACTTATACTTAAATAGACTATATTTAACCTGTATATTTCTCAGCTTTGTGGAACTTTTGTGGAATATGGAATTGTTTGTTCTTTGTGTTATATGACTCTGATGTGACATGAAATAATTTCCCCCTGGGATTATTAAAGTATTTCTGATTCTGATTCTGAAAGAAAGGCTGAATTGTTTTGCGGAGACCTGTTTACAGCTGAGTGGCTTACAATAGGTTACACAAAAAAAGACAATTGTTTTGGCACAGATGGTTAATATGCAGTGCATTTGTACGGAAGCTTATTGCATTCACTTGAAAATGTTTTTTTTTGGTTTCTTTTTCTGAGTAATTATTTGTGTTCTTCTGAGTAATTGTTTTTTATTTTGTTTTTCGGAGTAATTTTTTTCAGTTTTTCAGAGTAATTTTTTTTATGGTTTGTTTTTCAGATTTTTTGGTTTTTCTTACAATTTTTTTTTCTGAGTGTAGAGAGCATTTGAAACAATAGACGCATTAATTCCTTTATTGAGAGCTCGATTTAACAGAAACAAACATGTTTGGCTTGTTTAGTTCAATCAAGTTTTATTTTGATCTGGGTTTAAGACACTGGGATATAGTCCTGTCTTTAAGTCATATAGATGGTATTATCATTAGTTTGTCGACTCTACGCAGGCACCTGAGGACTTAGCGGTTGTGCAGAAGGAAAG